TTGTTCAGCTGATGTTTGGAGTAGATGTACTTACTCTGCATTGTTCATTATGTATCAAAATCATTATTGTAAATTAAATATTTGAATGCTGAAAAAAGTTGACATTGGGATGCTTTCGGTCTTTATTCACACAAAAGGTAATAATGCAAAACTCGTTTAAAAGAATGCTTGTTTACCTCGGACAAAACATAGACACTTCGAGCTGCACTGTGTAATTTTTTTACAGTCAACGGTCTACATTGTGAAGTCCACCAACAATGGCACGACGCAGTATAAAGGATATTCAATAGATATCTTGGATACAATCGCCGATGTTCTTAATTTCAGGTGAGGATTTGTCAGTTACATTACACTCTGTCAATATGTTTAATTCATAGTGCACCCACTTGGATAAAGGGTGAGTTTATTTCTGTTTAGCCTATGTATTGCAGTCTCCATATAAAACATTTCTTCTTACAGTTACCCGTGAAGGTCCGGGTTAGAATATTGATCTTCAGTAACCCATGCTTGTCGTAAGAGGCGACTAACGGGATCGGGTAGTCAGGCTCGCTGACTTGGTTGACACATGTCATCGGTTCCCAATTGCGCAGATCGATGATCATGCTTTTGATCACTGGATTGTCTGGTCCAGACTCTATTATTTACAGACCGCCGCCATACAGCTGGAATCATGCGGCGTAAAGCTAATTTCGCTCACTTACTCTTCTTACAGTTACAGTATCACTGAACCAGAAGATCAGTCGTATGGACTTCCTGTCAACAACACCTATGATGGAATTGTGGGGCAGCTAAACAGATCGGTAATACAAAATACAAACTATTTTATACCCTTTGGTTGATTTCTGGTTTTAACGTCATCTGAACCTAGATTACATGTTGGTACATGTAACATATGTTATATTTGGGATTACACTTTCTTAGTAAAGTACAGATTCTAGTACTTTTGGGTTGAGTCCCATCCGGGATTCGAACCCACAACCTCAGAGTCAGGCACCTATTCGCCAGCACACAAAGTCAGACGCCTAGACCGCTCAGCCACCATAAATGTGTTGTCTCACCTACACATTCTGTATATCAGCCTTTATCGGGTACTTCTGTTGAACTCCGAATGATTGATGCTCCCATGTGACCCGTACAGCCAGCGGCCATCTGGCGCTCGGCATATGTACTTTACTAAGAAAGTGTGATCCCAAATATAACATATGTTACATTTGACTACTTTCTAAAATGGCAATGTGTATTTCATGCTGGTACATGTTCAAGCCACGGTTTACCAGACTAAATTTAAATATTTTCACACTGAAATGATGAAGTGGTAGGTATTACTGAGCATATTCATCTGATGGCGCAACAATGTAACACTTCATGGCAGTAGATTCAGCAGGGAGTTTCAGTTGACTCTGTAGGGTGTAAATGTGTGAGAAGGAAAGGATACATGTTACACTGATTAATTGTGTCTGTGCTTTTGCAGGAGGTGGACCTTACTGCTTGTGATCTGACAATAGACGAAGGGCGTTCTAAGTTCATAGACTATATATATCCTCCCATCAACACGGAATACTTTGATATTGTGTATAAGAGGCATGACAAGCAACGAAGTAGCTCTCTTTATCTCTTGGCTCTCCCATTCAGACCCAACGTGTACCTCATTCTGTTTCTGATGGCTGGACTTTGCTCATTGCTCTTTGCCCTTTTAGAAAGTGCGGATATCTTCTTGCAAAAACCACCTGTAGTGTCTGAAGGTGTTGGTCTTTGTTTTTTGATGAACTTGAAAAACAATCTCTTTCGTGCATGTATGGAAGTCACTGGATCCCTGTTTAAACAAGGTATGTATAAACTTAAATTAAAGGATTCTATTACAAAAATATGGAGTGAGTGAGACAGAGTTAAGATTTTAAGTCACATCGGCAATATTTCAGCCATATCGTGACTAAAAAGTTATAATTTTAGAATACACAAAGGTAAATATAAATCCCTGTCAACGAAGGACAGTAAAATAACTAGTTTATCACATATTTCAGTTTAAAACTAGAAATGAACATTTTAACTATATATGACAATACAATATAAAATCAGGCTATAGATTGCAAACAACTGAAGGTAGATCTCCATACTAGGGACCATGGGGACTTACAGTACATTTTCGTCCTGCATGGACCCTAGCTGGATTTATGCCATCCCTTAAGCTATTGGCAATTTTAGATAATCTAGCCATAAGTTAAAATGACATATATGCTACGATTAAAAATAGTGGTAGGTTAATGTCTTCTAGCTGTATGGAGGGACAGGTGGAACTGACATGTTCTGTATATACTGTAAGTCCCCATGGTCCCAGGTATGGTGATCTACCTTCAGTTGTTGGCAGTATATATATCCTGTTTTTACCTTGCATTGTTATCTATAGTTAAACTGTTTTCGATTTAATTACTAGTTTTAAATTCGAATCTGTGATAATCTAGTTATTTTACTGTCCTGACAGGGTTTTACAATATACCATTAATTACTTTGTATAAAATTAATTGTTCTCGTCACGATATGGCTGAAATATTGCCGATGTGATGATAAATTTTATCTCACTCATTCCAACATTGCAATTGTATCTTCATAAACAAGAGATTGTTCATGACCGAATGCAAGTCCCTCTGTGTATGGGTAGCTGATTTGTACTCGGATATCCATTCAAATTGTGTCAAATAAGCACCAATCTGAAACTGGGATACCTTCTCCATGTTCTTACACGTGCCATGTGGATTTGAGACTGGTCTAAAATTCTGCAACTGCTAAAAACAAGTGATGTATTCTCCTGGAGAGGCTGATTTCAAACGTAAAATATTCCAGGGACAAGACTTAGTGTCCTCTAATGAGTTTTGGAATGGCTGGCATCCCTTCAGCTGTCAGTAGGTTTAGACAATTTAACCATAAATTAAAATAACATATATCCTACGGTTAGAAAGAATGGTATGTTTAAAATTTACTTTGAATGTTTTGGGACTTACGTACTCTGGTCTCCTTCACCCCTAGTTCTTGTGGGTAAATTGGTGGAAGAAACTCGCGTTTCGACCATTATTGACTATCAGTCCATCGAAAAAACCATGAAGCTTTCATGTTTTGACTTTGCGATTTCGAGCAGAAATTCCCATTTACATGCAAAAGCAAAGAAATCGGCAAGACAGGGATCCCAATTGGCGCCAGTTGGAATGCTTGTTTCTTGCCCAAAATGTTTAGCTGAAATACTTCTACTGATGATCTTAAGATGATTACCTTGTTTTCATCGCTATATGGCTGTAATATTGCCGACGCGATGTAAACTTTTAACTCACTCACTCACTCACTTCTACTGATGTTATTAATGACATTTTCACATTCAAAATATGACTAACCCTTTGCTTTCAGTTTTGATTAATTTTCACAAATGTCGAAAGATTGATAACTGTAGCTGTAAGTTTATCTTAGCTGAGCGTGTTTAGTGAAGAATGCCTTATGTATTTTGCAGGCTTTAGTAAATATCCTCGAACTGTATCGGGAAAGGTTTTGATGACGTCGTTGTGGATGTTGCTGATGGTGATAACCACAGTCTACTGTGCCAACCTGGTCGCTGCTCTGTCTGCACAGAAGGATGTTAAACCGTTCTCTGACCTCGAGGGGCTACTGGATAGTGATTATTCTGTTGGTTTGCGAACAGTCGGTATCTCCAATCATATATTGAAGGTATTTGCGAAGGGCTTTCCTTTTTATTCGTACAGTGGTGTTTAAAATGTTGCCAAACTATTCCGCCGTAGACCTGTTTGCCCCACTGAGGATTTAAGCGTACGATCAAAATTCCTGAACACCTGGTTGCATTACTCTTTGACATGTTGGAATACTAATTAAAACTCAGCAGGGTTTTCTTATGATAATGGATGTTTTATTTTGTGTCGTTTCACTGATTAAAAATGAATAATTTATCATTGATTTTGGTATTTCCTCATTTTCGAATTTATTACACGAATCGTAACAGTGACAATGACATACGTTTACATCCAATCATTGTGCATCTATTCTTGTTTGTGAGTGAGTGAGTAGATTTATAGTCACATAGGCAAAAATCAGACATATCGTGACCCTAAAAAGACAATATAACTAGCTAGAGTTATAACCTTAGACTTAGAATACTAATTAGGAGAATACAATTTATTAATACTAATTAGGAAAATACAATATATTAAACGGGCTATAGATCGCACACCATGGGGACTTTCAATTCCTTGCATGGACCCTGGATTTGCAATATGCCTTCAGTCGTTGGCGACTGTGCTAAAATTAGCCATCGCTTTAATATCCTATGATTAAAAACCTGGAAGAGCGAAATTTACTTCAAATGTTTTGGGGATTGCGTAACCTCTCAGAAGGGACCATGGGGACATGCACTTGTGTTTTTATCGCTCCTGCATGGACCCTAGCTAGCTTAACACAATCTCACCACCATCCGTTGGCGATCGTGGAAACATTTAGCCATGCCTTAAGAGGACACATAGCATACGATTGTCAAGTGGATTCATTGTCTGGATTCAAGTCATCTTTAAACATGTTATCTCAAAAGAAGGTCACTCCATCTCCACCTGACACCAATAGGAGTTCATCAAACGCTTTCTCACGTTCATGTGACATGTCACCAGTGGAAGCACCATGAATCCACAAAACATGATTCAATGGAATTGCAGAGGACTTAAGACTAATTATAACGAATTACAGTTATTGATTCAAGACTTCAAACCATCCGCGTTTTGTCTCCAAGAAACCTACCTAAAAAGGACTGATAAATTTGACATCCGTCGGTACAGTTCCTACCACTCCTTTTCTCCTCCCGATGTAATTGCTACAGGAGGCACTTCTATCCTGGTGAGGCAGGGCATCCTCCATAGCCCTGTTCCACTTAACACCAACCTACAAACTGTTGCTGTCCGCATGACTCTGAGCATAGGGTTTACACTATGTTCACTCTATCTTCCTCCCTCCTCAACTGTTCGCCTATCAGATCTTCATAACTTGTATGATCAACTCCCAAAGCCATGCATAATCATGGGCGACCTGAACGGCCATAACCCTCTATGGGGGAGTACTGATACAAATAATAAGGGAAAGATCCTTGAAGATTTTCTCTCAAATAATGATCTATGCATCTTCAACGATGGATAGAACACCTATCTCCATCCTGCCACTGGAACATACTCTGCACTTGATCTATCACTTACGGATTCTAATCTCTTAAACGAGTTTGAATGGTCGGTTCACGATTACCTTTGTGGAAGTGACCACTTCCCAACTATTCTTACTCCTATCACTCCCGCGGATGAACCACCTTCAACAAGATGGAATTTTACTAAAGCCAATTGGCCATTATTCCAAACTCTCTGCTCTGAAAAGCTTATACCGGACAACTTCAGGAATGTTCCTGATCACATGAAACTATTTTCTGATATCTTAAATACTATTGGAAACCATTCCTAAGTCCTCTGCAAACCCGCACATACGCAAACCATGGTTTGATACAAACTGCAAACAAGCTAGGAAAAATAGGAAGAAGGCGGAAAAATGCTTCCGACAACATCCTACTGTGCATAACCTGAATGCCGTTAAAATATCAAATGCCAGGACACAGGACAAGACGTACATTTAAACAAACTAAACGCCGGTCATGGAGAAAATATGTGTCCAAAATCAACTCCCGCACACCCATGTCCAAGGTGTGGAACATGATTCAAAAGATTAAGGGCAACGGATCCAAATCTTGTGTTCACCACCTGAAAGATGGTGACTCCCTTTTAACCAATAAATTTGAAATTACAAACACATTTGGCGAAATTTTGGCAAACCACTCCTCCTCGTCAAACTATAACCCCAAGTTCCAGAATTACCAAACCCAACAAGAAAAGAAAACATTCAATTTTAACTCTGATAATGGTGAGGATTACAATGAAACGTTTTCTCTCCATGAACTACGTACTGCAGTAGGAGCTGATGATATTCATTATCAGCTTCTCAAACACCTTCCTGATTCAAGTTTGGAAACTCTACTCAATATATTTGATGACATTTGGACAACCGGCAACTTTCCTCCTTCGTGGCACAACGCCATTATCATCCCTAAACCAAAACCTGGCAGGGATCATACTGATCCTTCAAACTACCGTCATATATCACTAACTAGCTGTGTTTGTAAAACCATGGAGCGCATGGTCAACAATCGATTAATCTGGTACTTGGAGACCAATAACCTCCTTAGTGACCTCCGATGTGGTTTCCGAAAAAAACGAAGTACCATAGACCATCTTTTGCGTCTGGAATCGTTCATCAAATATTCCATCGTCAACAAACAACATACTGTATCTATCTTTTTCGATTTAGAAAAACCATATGATACAACGTGGAAGCATGGTATCTTAAAAGATTTACATGAATTTGGATTGAGGGGCAGATTACCTCAGTTCATATCTCAGTTTTTAAACAACAGACAATTTCAAGTACGGGTAGGCTCCACATTGTCTGATTATTTCCACCAAGATCAGGGCGTCCCTCAAGGCAGCATCCTGTCCGTCACCCTTTTTAGCATCAAAATTAACAGCCTCACTAACGTCTTAAACAGTTGTGTTGATGGGTCCCTTTTCGTGGACAATTTAACAAAATCCAAAAATGGGCCAATGAAAATGGCTTGAAGTTTTCAAAATCCAAAACAAATTGTATTCACTTTTGTCGTAAATACAAACCACACAAGGATCCAGACCTATCTTTAGATGGTACTCCCATCAAGGTAGTAAAAGAGGCCAAATTCCTGGGACTCATATTCGACCGTCACCTGACCAAAGTGCTTGAAGGCTCTGGACTTACTAAAAGTCGTTTCAAATACAAAGTGGGGAAGGGATCAGACTACCCTTCTTCACTTGTACAGATCTTTGGTTCGCTCTAAACTAGACTACGGCTCCATTGTTTATGGTGGAGCCTGCAAAAGCAATTGAGAAAAATTAGATTCTATCCACCACCAAGGCCTGAGGCTCTGCCTGGGAGCTTTTAGGACCTCTCCGGTAGTTGTCATTGGATATAAGACTGTCTCCTCTAGGATTCCCGACAAAAGTTCCATTTTCACTACCGAGGCCAAAGCTATCTTTTCAGCTTTGACCTATATTAAACAACAGAATCATTCCAAAAACTTCATCGTTTTCACAGATTCATTATCTTGCCTTCAAGCACTTCAAAATGTTACTTCAAGTCCCCAAATCATTCTGGACATTATAGAACTTTACAACGACCTCTCTGCTGGCCAATGTGACATCGTCCTGTGCTGGTTGCCGGGTCACGTCGGCATAGCAGGTAACACAAAAGCCGATGCTGCAGCAAAAGCAGCTCTTGACAAGCCCTTATCTCCACTGCTGATCACGTACAGTGATTTCAAACCCACTATCAAAAGCTATACTCGGGACCTCATGCAAAAAAGGTGGGACACTCAAGTAGGAAGAAATAAACTGTATGAATTGAAGCCAACAATTGGTTCTACCTACTTGGGTTGTCAGTCAAGACGTGATGAGGTAATATTACGACGATGTCGTATTGGCCACAGTCGGTTTACTCATGACTATCTGCTGAAAACGGATGGGGATGGACCCCCCATGTGTGTCTCTTGCAATTAGGTTTTCACCATCAAGCATATTCTGCTTGACTGCGTGGACTTGTCTGCAAGGGACTCACATTATGATGCAACAAATCTGAGAGATCTGTTCTCCCGCGTGAGCGCTCATTTGATAGTGAACTACCTGAGTGAAGTTGATCTGTATCATAAATTGTAACTGTGTAATGTGACTAACAAATTGCCTGCCTTTAAAATAAGTGCTATGACTTTTTCTGCTTTTAAATGACAATGTAATGAATATATGTTTTGGAAAAAAACGCATTCCGAGTATGTACTTACAATGTTTCTGAATGCAAACTTGTTCTCGTCACTATATGGCTGGAGTAATGCCGATGTGACGTAAAACCCAACTCAACTCAACTCAAAAGGGGCTACATGACGATCTACCACTTTACATGGCAACTATTTGAAAGCTGATTTTCACATTTAACGCAAGAGGTAACATTGCGTACATTCTAATACATTTGAGGTGAGACATTGTTGTATCTTTAATACCATCTAAACCGGACTATTTATGAACCAGGGCTATTTCGGGACATACTATTTAGTTATGCTTGTGACAGTATATGCCTGTGGACACTGCTTCAGAACACACAGAGTTCAGTTTCGAATTGTATTGCTCAAATCATGTATTAGTTATTCAAATCATGTTATGGAACAACTTATTATTTGGTTACAGCCATTTCGGCCATGTACATGTGGTAATCCACTGGTTATAAAGGCCCTATCTTGATTTCCTACCTGTCAGGACTGTGTGTTCCAGTGTTTCAGTAGAAAGGACATAATGTTGCTGTATTTTCTCTTTTTAACCATCAGACAAATGACCCATCACGTTTGTATGGAAGGCTATGGACAAAGATAACAGCCAACGACCCAGTGTTCTTGGAATCCGCGCTTAGAAATCATCTAAAGCGAGTGGAACGTGAGAAATATGCCCTTTTGGATTACAAATCAGAACTACAGAAGCACATGGCTGATGACTGCCAGTTAGAGGCTCTTGGAGAGAGGCTGTTAATTGCACATCAAGCATTTGGATTACCCAAAGGGTCTCCTCTAAAAGCCGACATAGAGAAGATGTAAGTTGTGATAGAACACAAGTTCATAAAATTGGTGTTTAAACAAAAATATAAACATGGATATTGGCTATCAGCAAACAATATGTTAAACATCTTCTTTTCAATCTGTCTGAAATATATTTCAGTGAATAAACTAAAATACGTTCTACATGTAACATGAAATGATGTTGGATTTGCAAATTTGTAGTGAGGAGAAGTTTTCACAGATCGTACTGTCTTTTGGCAGAATGTCTCAGATGAGAGCGGTCGGCCTTCTGGATCGATTCTGGGAAAAGTGGAGCGTCAAGAGAAACCTGACACATTGTCTACCAAAACGAATATTGAAGTCAATCACACTAAACCAGGTCGGAGGTGGCTTCATCGTCGTGTGTGCTGGGACTGCACTCAGTATCATTGTGCTGTGTCTTGAAAAACTAACACACTCAGTAACAAGATGAACAGTAAAGTACCAAAACTGTTTATGTCATTAAACAGACACTTTGAAAGTGGAAGAAAATGAAAGAAGTGTTCATAAAACTTACTGAAAATAAATTCATCTGTTAAATGCATTCTTTTGTTTTAGGGGAACTAAAGGGGCCAAGGGTGGATGAGTGACTGAGTAACATGTGCTTGTTTGTTGGTTTAAGCCGCCCACCAGCTGTATGGCGGTGGTCTGGACCAGACAATCCATGATAAACATCATGAGCATCGATCTACGCAACTGGCATATGATGCCATGTGCCAAACAAGTCAGCGATCCTGACCAGTCGATTACGTTAGTCGCCTCTTACTACAAGCATATGTTGCTGAAGACCAATTCTAACCCGGATCTTCACGGGTGGAGACAAGCATGGGTCGCTGAAGGCCAATTCTAATCCGGATTTTCAGGGGTGGGAACAAACATGGGTCACTGAAGATCAATTCTAACGCGGATCTTCACGGGTGGAAACAAGCATGGTTCGTTGAAAGTAATTTCTAACCCGGATCTTCACAGGTGAGACAAGCACGGGTTAATGAAGACCAATTCTAACCCAGATCTTCATATGTGCTGAGTAATGAATGCTGCTTTTATACGTATGTGCAGTGGAGCATTTCTAGAATTCATACTGTCTCTTTCTCGTTTTAAGCTTCCCATCAGTGAATGGATGACAGTGGCTTAAAGCGAACTCAAAGCTGAATCCATTGTGCGATTTCACGGGTTTGAATGCAAGTACCAGGGGTTTCCTATAAATGGTACGCGTATCCTGTTCCGCCCAAACACATGCAAAGGAAAGTGATTTATACACACTGAAATACGTGAATATTGATTAAACTCAAAATAAGAAAAGTCGAAAAATCATTAGGTCGCTAAAATCCTCAACAAAGCTTGCCGACATAAATGTCGTTTATATTGTAAACGATTCAATTATAATGAATTTATCATTTTGAAAAATATAACCAGATTTCTAACTTTTAACTGATAAAAAATGTACAAAACTATAACGTCCAGAACGTTTGGTTTTCTCGTTATAGATATGGAGCAGTAACACACCCCTTTACTACAGTCCAACAATCCTGACAAGTGCAACTGTACTAGCAAATGTTATGACGAACATATATTAAGTACACTGTCAGTTTCTCCATATTCAATGTCATTCTCTGTGCATACCAAGGTCAGATAATACACAAGATCATCAGATGGTGCTTCCTGTGTTCTATTCTCAACATCTGAGCACAGGTGAATGAAACAGAAATTGATGTAATTGAAGTCAATGTGTATGCAAAATAGTATAGCAGACTGCATGGGCTTGAGATGCCTACAGAAAGACATTTGTACTAGCAAATGTTATGTTGAACAGATATAAGTACACTTTCTCTTTCTTCATATTCAGTGCAATTATTCTCTGTGCACACCAAGGTCAGATAATACACAAGATCATCAGATGGTGCTCCCTGTGTTCCATTCTCAACATCTGAGCACAAGTGAATAAAATTGACGTAATTTAAGTCAATGTAGATGCAAAATAATATGTGAGACTGCATGGCATTTGGGATTAACGTGTCTTGTAAATTCAATTGTAATTTATTACGCTGCTTTGAGCATTATTCCAGCTATGTAACACCAGGTACGGACTGAACACACCCTTGTGGAATCAAACCCAGGCAGTCGGCCTGTGCAACCGAACACACTGGTAACCTGTTCCACTACGATGAACAGTGAGTGAGTTCAGTCTTACAAAAAATAATTAAGTCCGTTTACAATACCAATAGCAAAGACACTGATTAATGTTCTTTAGTGTCAAATCTGTGTTTGGTCCTGGAGGAGACAGAAGTACAATGGCTTGATTGTATGAGCCAATTTCTATTGTATTCTGTCGTAATGTTAATTCTCTCACGCTGACATATATGTGTTGTCGCACCTACACATTCTGTATATCAGCCTTTATCGGGGACTTCTGTTGAACTCCGAATGATTGATGCTCCCATGTGACCCGTTCATCCAGTATACCCAGGTGACAGTCAGCGGCCATCTGGCGCTCGGCATATGTACTTTAATAAGAAAATGTAATCCCAAATATAACACGTTACATTTGACCACTTTCTAAATGGCATTGTGTATATTCACAGCTTTCGGCCGAGAGAGCTGTGCCAATTTACATTTATCAGAGGGGTACACAAAGTCCGCAGTCTAGACTACCAGTTGTCCGACTTCCATTTTTGTCCAAGCCGCTGTGGCTGAGCGGGTAAAGCGGCTGAATCTGTGTGCTGGCGATTAAGATTGACTCTAAGGGTATGAGTGCGAATCCTCCCAGTGTATTTGGATTAAGCTCGAGTGATTGGATGAAGTAACTGCTTTGTACCATGTCCATATTCTGCATTCAAATTTCGAATCTGCGTACGTGGGATTTTTTAATTTAAAATCATTCTGTTTGACACTGCCGCCATGGCTTGTGGCGAGTGGGATAATACGTCATATGACATAAAACTGTCACAAACAGTTGACGAAATTGAAGGTACTAAACTCTGGGATGATACAATCGATGACAGCACTCTCTCACAAGCTGCCGAAATAATGGAAACTAAATCTACCGTGTTAGTGGGATTCACCCAGTTATCAGTGTCGATGTCGGGCGAATGTGCAACAATTACCAGAACTGTATTTTCAAGAATTAGTTGCAATGAGCCAATCAGAGAGTTGCTGTCGAAGGCAGGTCAAAACCGAGGTTTATCTATACAATACACCACGGCTGAGATCAAAGGGACTTCAGTCTGAGCATGGTACAAACTGGGTTACAAGGCTTTCAAAAAGTGGCCTACAACCATGAGTCAAAGGGAGTGGAAACACCCACTGTCTTCTTTAACAAACAAGGCAAAGTCCGTTCCAACAGCTGGCTAGGCGATGACTTCAGTTTTTCCAGGAGTTCAGGAGAACATCCAGAAAAGTCAGACAGGAAAATCATGCTTGTCTGCTGCGGCAGCAGCATGCAACTGAAAATCCTCACAAATATTATCATTACTCCTATGTAGACACACACCTTAATGTAACAAAGTACAACCACATTTTTCGACTCCAGGGTCTGCAGCCAAGGTAA